AAGCAGACTCCCTGCCGAGCAGAGAGCCTGATGCGGGACTCAATCCAGGGACTCCAGGATCATGACCTGAGCCGAAGGCAGTCACTTAACCAACTGAGCCACCCAGGCGCCCCGGGCTGTAAGCATTTTCATTTTGGTTCTTCCAGGGTGGTAACTGGAGGCCAGCATTTCATCACCGTCATTTCCCATACAACAATACCTATAATAACAAAACTAATGGTATTTTAACAGATGATTATGAGCCTTCTATTGGCATAGTTGATATTTGTCAGAGTGTTTCTGAAAATTGATTTTGATAAATGTTTTGAAGACAGTTTAGTTTAAAAACTCAATGAAAAGTGATTGTAGTATTAGATACACATATAGACCACAGAATTAAGTTATGTAAATTATCAAATTATTTCATGATACTTGCAAAGAACTATTATGTACATTTATACACATATACATATATAATATGAATGTATATGTGTATTTGTATATATGTTTATATGTGCATACATACCCACATATCTACATGTAGATCTGTAAGTTCTCAGATTTTGATTCTAGCAAGAATTTAAAACTGTGAAAAGACAGGTGAGATTATTTCTCACCAAAATAAATTCAACAAACTTTTATTCAGGATCTGTTTGCCAGCTGCAGAATCAAAATCAAAATCGATGTCATTCAACTTTTTTTTTTTTTTGTCAGATATGTCAATATGCGTCTACCTTTGCTATTAACTTTAGTTCACACCTTTTTGTTAAGGTGGTTACATGTTGTAAAAAATGCATAAATTTAAGTTATAGAGCTAATTCAAGAAAATATGTATTTTCCCCCTATCCGTGAGGAAAAGTAAAATCCCTTTTTACAGTTAATCATTGAAATAAATGCCATCACAAGTCATATTGTGTACATTTATGATACACTTTCACTATAAATCTAAGTAAGATAAGTAAAGTTTTTTGCTCTAGATTTTGATTAGCAAGTTCAGCCTTAAAAGATCATTCGGTACAGTGTCAGCACATGAAATGATCTCTTGGTTCTACTTAAACCCCCTCCCCAATTGCTATCTATCCAAACGTTAAAGATTCTGTATACACTTAAGTACATTAAGAATTCAGTATGTGACAGTTTAACTGTTTATAATTCCCCTGCAGCTTGAAAGTAGGTGTCCTTTCTCCTCCTTTGCCATGGGTACATCTGACTCAAACACAATCCGTGTCTCTGATAGGAACCAGCTGCTAGCTCCGCGGTGTCCAATCTGCAGCGGAGCTCCGCCAGCCTTTGGCCAGTCACTTTATTCAAATACCGATTTGTAGTGGGGCTGGAACACCCATAGTGGTTTCATTACAGAAATACAATGAAATCAGGTAGCAGAAATTCATGGAACTGATGAGTTTCCTTCCTAGTAGTGGCTAAAATTACTCTAGAGCAAACAAAATTGGACTGAGAGACACTGCCTGGAAGTCAATGGCTTCTTTCCTCAGGAATCCTTTGTTTTACAAGCAGCGGAGGGTAGGGGTGTATACTTAAGCCAGGCCACCAAAGTTCAAATCCTTGCTGGGCGAGTCAGTTGTGTGGGACCTTAGGCAAGCTGTGTAATTTCTCTGGGCTTTGGTTTCTCCATCTGTAAAATGGGGATAGTTCATATCTCATAACATTGCTAAGTATTGCTAAAACAAAAAACAAAACACAAAAAAACACTAAACAAAAAAACCAAACAACCCCCAAAAAACAAAACCAGAGTTGGGGGGGCAACCTTGAGCTAAAGCTGCAATTCAGGCATGTTTTAATCAAAATGGAAACTTGAGGGGTCTTGGGCCAGGTTTTTTAAAGACCAGAAAGTCAACTTAGTTCTTGGCCTGTGGTTTGTTCTTAGGATCATAAATAAGGTCACAGTCATGGACTTTGAACACTAAATCAGATGAGCTAATTTTAACTTCTTCCATGTCATCTCAAAAGCTATTAGGAAACATTTATTAGTAATTTCTTTTAAAGACAACTGCCCAATAGGCAACCATTGTCTTTGGAATGAAAAATTAGGTATTAAAAATTTATTGAACTATGATTTTATTATTAATTCTGTAAATTCAAAGAATGGTTATTATAATCCCTCCTGTGAGGTTTAGTTAATTTTTACATCTCTCTACATTATAATTTTATGAGGTATCTTACAGTGGTTTCAAATTATTTCATCAATCTTTGTTTTTAATTTATACAGTGGAATTTACTTGTTCATTGGTGTGAGTAATTTTCAGTATCTTGCCAAACACTCTGTGGCAACTGAAAATACAAGTTGCTTATATGAGACTCTTCTGTTTGAGTGCAGTGCAACAAAAACAAATTATGCTGAAAACCCAACATCATTGAATTGTAGGCACTTATGTAACTAATTAAAAAATACTTTTATTTTCTGTAATTAAGAAGACAAATTTGACCTACATTTTTGGGGGGCAAATAATAGGGCAAAGCATATCTTATGGCTAGAATAATGTTCAGTTTCACTGTATTATTACTTCTGTTTTTTTTATCTCCCCAACTTGACCAAATGCTTTATATCCCATTCAGCCCATCTTGTTGCAGAACTCACATATATTAGAAGCTTGATCAATATTTATAGACCAATTTTATTATTCTTATGTGTTCAGATTGTAGTTTAAAACTCAGGTTTATGAAGAAAAGTCCCATCAGTTTCCCAGAGTGTTGTGAAAATCTCTCCAGGAACTCATGGTGATCCCATGTTCAAAGTGCACTGTCAGACATTGATGCTGCTCAGTCCCGGGGGGCAGCTGGAGCCCATAGGCTAAGAGTGAAGAGCAGCTTTCTCTAGTGCCCCTGGGCAGCCCAAGCACAGCAGGGTTTGAGAGGTGATGATGTGTCCTCTGGCAACAATGATATCAAGCTCTGCTGGTTGATGCTAGGTGTAGCCAATAAGGTGTCTTACTGTCTGGACATCTATGTCGGCTATGGGCTGCATAGCACACAGCATCCGTAAGGGTGCTGAAGGAGATATGGGAGGAGTTCACTTTGCAGGAGTCCAAGAAGCTCTGCTTCCAGGTTGATAAGACACAGATCCCCTTCTCCATTCCTAATCTGTATATTCACGTGTACACATACTGTCTTCCTATTGTGGCTACTATCTTTGTAACAATCCAATCCAGCTGCAGACCTGCAGTGAATACCCATTCTGCAAATCAGAGCTTCAGCATATTGCTATGAAAAAGTCTGATTAGATTTGAGATCATTGGCATTATTACAAGAAAATTCAACATTACATTGTTTTGGACAGAAAAAATGTTTAATTTCTTTAAATATAATTTCCAACCATGGTAAATTTTTGAATTGTTGTAAATGTTTTTACATTTTTATATATCACCTTTTTTTTGTTGAAAGTGACTATCTAGAGATCAACTCTTTCATAAACATATGAAATTATTTTATGTGGAATTTTATGCATATTTAATATTTAAATCACTTCTAATATTTTTCTATTTTTTTTAACACATAGGTAATTGTAAAGAAAAGGCAGTTAAATGTTTACTAAACTCCAGGGAGCCATATCATTTTTTCTGTGACATAACTGGAAAATTTGGGGAAGCACCTTCCATTAGGAATTTTCGGTGATTCATAGGTGTTCAAGTTTCCTCAAAGTGTTTTCAAAACTGGGCAAGGACTTTTCTGCTAACTCTGTGTGGCATAAGGATCACTCAGCTTCAAAGAACTTAGTCCCTTCTTTCAACTGTAAAATACTCTAATACCATTTCACACGGTCCTATTTAATGGGGCCATGTGCAGTGTTTACACTCGAGTATGCACTAGACTGGAAAAGTGATCCACAGGCAGGCTCATTTCTGCCGGTTCACCCTCCGTGTTAACTGCCTTGGACAAAGTAATCATCCAGCTGTCTTATTCCGTCTTCTGCAGTAAGGCTTCACCCGAGCCTTCCTTCTTCCAACCTGCGCTGCGGGCTGAGGGGTTGGTCTGGAGTAGCCGCCCAGCCCAGCCCGATCCTACTACACACTTTTCCCTTGCCTCTGGGCCACTTGCAAGCGCAACCACGCGCCCAGGTCTCCAGGCTTTTCCGGGGAGGCCTCTCGCCCTCAGCCAGGCTGGGTGGGTGCTGGGGGTGGTCTCGCAGACTTCTCGCGCTTTCCCTGCAGGTGCCCCAGAAGGTACAGGCACAGGCCAAAGCAGCCGTCCGGGGTTGCTACGAGGCGGGGCCGGCGCTCCCTGACCTCCTCCTCCTCCCTCCAGGTTCTGCGCCCCCGGACTTGGCAGTGGCAGAAACCGGCCAAGAGTCCCAGCCCAGGGGGCGGGGAACTTGGACACCTGGGGCAATCGTTCAGGGTCTGCTGCCACCTTCCCCTCCCCCGGCCTCCGCTGGGGATGTTTATCTTGCCCTGTGCTCCTTGCTCTTTTCTCTTTCACTTTTCTTTTCGCTGGGGGTTGGGACTCCCTGGGTTCAGGGCGCCCATGGGGAACCCCGGCTGACTCGCTCGTTGCAGTCGAAGCCCATCGCCAGGGAAGGGAGCCGGGTGGCCGCGCCCGTCCGGCTGCGCCGCTTGCCGCCCCCAGCCCTGCAGCCCGGACTCGATGGAGGTAGAGTTCTGCTTCTTCGCTCTGGGAGGGGAGGTGGTGGTGGTTGAAAAAGCGATGGAATTTTCCCCGAAAGCCTACGCCTCGGGCCTCTCCCAGCTCCGGGCGGACCCACCCGTTTCCCGCCACCAGCTGCGGGTCGCGCTGCCCCGCCTTGCCCTCTCACGGGGAACACTTGACCGCGACTTCAGTTTTCGGTTGCACTACGCACAGAGGTTTTTCCCCTTCTGACCCTTTATTCCTCCCGTGCCCTCTGCTCGCCATCCTCCACTTTCAGAGGTGCGCAGCTTGCTCGTCCGCTTGCGGGTCCCGCGCTGTTCCTCCGTGCGCTCGCGGTCTTTCGGTGTTGCGGGCAGCGGAGTGGCGGGAGGCAGCGCCCGGCGCCGGGCTCTCCCCTCCGCTGACTCTGCAGCTGACCCGCGGAGAGCGAGGGACGTGCGTCTGGCTGCCCCCGCCAAGCTGCCGGTTTCGGAGAAGACGCCGTCTGGCAGCACGGAGCCCTGAGTTCTGTACCTAACAGAGCTCAGAGAGTTCAAGAAAGGTACCGCAGCTCCCCGCTTCTTCCCTGCCGCCTCCCAAACTCCCTGTCGGTGGGCGCAAAGGTGTGTAGGGCCCTGCGCGTCTGTCGCTACCTTTGTTTGCAAAATCGAGTTACCCTCCCCTTCTTGGATAAGGACCCTTGTCCTCCTAGGGAGAGGAACTTGCAGAAATGGTTACTGCTGGGCAATCAGGCCTGGGTCTATATTCTCACTTCCAACCCTGGACAAGCCACTCATCTCTTAGAAAAGCAGTCTTAGTAACTTGGAAGAGATGCAGGAGACTTTAATTGCAATAAAACCCTTGTCCAAGGTGGATTTAAATGAAAATCCGGTTGATTTTTTCCAACTGAGATTGCATTTTGCGAACGGATACGATTCATTTTAATTTATGTAATGCCGTGCATTTAAGGTTTTGATAGCTTCAACGTAGCCATAAAGCAAGGTTATTCTTAAACGATGCGTATTAACAGATTCTTAAACAGGGTGAGTCAGAAGTTTCAAAACTGGAGGTAAAGTGGTTGTCGTTAGCTGTTTTCCATTATGTTTTTTAAAGCTACTTTCTAATGTTATGACACGGGTGATGACATCTACTTGTAACTGATAGGCATCCTCATCTTCTCAGTGTGCCTAACGAGGTTTTACTGACTTGACTGAATGAACAGATTAGATCTGGATGGTTGTGGCATCCTGCGGTGGGATGGCTGTGAGGGGGACTGTTCTACTGAAAGCAGCAAGGTGATATATGGATTCAATTTTTAAACTCCTGTTGTTTTATTGAAAAGCAGTGTGGTGGGCAAGGTAGACAGAGGAAGGTGGTACAAAGGAAAGAACATAAAGAGATATAAAGGAAGGGACTGAAAAAAAAAAGCAACAGGCTTCTTAGATTTAAAAAGTAACGAAGAATTTAAAATTTTATGTAATCAAGTTAAGAAGTCTCAGAAGTTCTAAAGGTTTGTTATGATTGTGTTTTAAGGTCACATTCTTGCATCTCTCCCTGTGTTTTCTCCTCTCAAAGTTTTAGTCATACTCAGAATGGCCTTTCCTGCAGTATCATCTGCTCTGTGACAGAGTGACACAGAGGAGATAGGTTGGTCACTGGTCCTGAAGCTCTAGTAAGCAGTGTTCCCATACTTTGTTTTTTAACTTATTATTAATCTATTAATGTATATATTATTTTTTATTAAGTAAGCTCTACACCCAATGTGGGGCTCGAAGTCACTTCCCGGAGATCAAGAGTCACATGCTCTACTGACCGAACCAGCCAGGCGCCCCTTCCCATACTTTGGATTCACTATTCTCCGACAGTCTGGAGTGGGAACTCCAGAACCTGGTTTGAAGTTGTAGTCCTGAAATTTGGAATTTTACTGCAGATTTTGGTGGGCTTAAAGAAAACGATTTGATGCTTTTTGTTTCACCCGTGAGATTCAGTTATAAATGTCAGCAGCTCTATTGCAAGACATACTAGTTGTTAATGAAATACATGTTTATCAACTTCTATGAAGGAGGAAGAAAATCAGTGGTTTAAAGTTTATTGAAACAGAGTTTGATAATTAGAGGATTAGATAATTAGATAATTAGAACCCAGGAGGTTCTCCATCTCAGGTTTGCTGGCTCTGAGTAGATTTCAGGAAGGCTATGATTGAAGCCCTGAAATGTTATGGGTAAGTGGATTTTTCTTAGGAAAATGTCCACAACTCTAGTTAGGTTTTTAAGTGGGTCTTGAACCACAAATAGTTTTAAAAACATCTTAAAACTTAGAAAACTGTCCTTTTCTTCATTTATCTCTTAGAGTTTACTGTTAAGTTTGCTCATTAGGTAGCTATTCTTTTGAAGTTTAGTTAATGATAATACAGAGAGTTCTGTCTTTCTGCCAGCAACTTGAATTACGGGAAATAATATGAATTATAGCTAATACTTGTTGAGTTCTTATTATGTACTGGACGTTGTTCCAAGTATGTATTTTTATTTTTATTTATTTATTTATTTATTTTAAGATTTTATTTATTTATTTGAGAGAGAGACTGAGATAGAGCATGAGAGGGGGGAGGGTCAGAGGGAGAAGCAGACCCCCCCGCCGAGCAGGGAGCCCAATGCGGGACTCGATCCCGGGACTCCAGGATCATAACCTGAGCCGAAGGCAGTCGCTTAACCAACTGAGCCACCCAGGCGCCCCAAAGTATGTATTTTTAAAAATCATCATAATAAAGTTATGTGGTGGTAGGGACTGTATTATACTGCTGAGAAAATTGAAGCATAGGGTAATAAATAACTTTCCCAAAGTTACAGAGCTAGTTAAGTGGTAGAACTGAGGATTTGAACCCGGACAGATTTAAGATCACGGGTATTTAGGAAGAATCATATTTCCATATAAGTATTTCCCACAATTTGGCAGTGACAACTAACCACAACTTCATTTTGATGGACGCAGTGTTATAATGATAGAATGTTGGTTTTCAAGTAACACTGCTTATATAGTACTTGCATGATTGACATCAATCATTAATTATATATTTAAAGATTAGCTTTATGATCAACTAGTATTCACATGAGTGTCCATATGTGTTTGGTTCCTTGGAGAAACTTCTTTCATGGTTCCTGAATGAAAACATTAATTTGCATCAGTTTTTGCTGATAGGGCTTGGCATAGGTACATGTGGATTAATCTGTATGCTGAATTTATCCATCTCCCTGTCCATTCATCCATCCAAGTGGAAAGCTGGGGTTCATGGAGAGATCAGAACAGAAGCCTTTCCCATTATATCACAACCGAAGTGGTGTAGTCAACTATTTGAGAAGCTTTTTCAGAGGCTTTATGGTATGAGGGTTGGCAAGAGGCCAGCTGCTTTCCTTAGTTCAGTATTAGCTCTTTGGTTTACTTACACAGTGATTGCAGATTACTACATGAAGCTATTGAGATTGAATAATGCTTAAGTGCTTGCTGCTATCCTATTTGAATGGATTGAGTGGAAAAATTCCATAGGGAAGTTGGAAGAACCTTTGTGGTTTTAGCTAGTCCTGCAGCATATTCACTACTAGCTATTTAATGGTGAATTTTACTAATTATTATTATTATTATTTTTTTAAAGATTTTATTTATTTTTCAACAGAGAGAGAGAGACAGCGAGAGAGGGAACACAAGCAGGGGGAGTGGGAGAGGGAGAAGCAGGATTCCCGCTGAGCTGGGAGCCCGATGTGGGGCTCGATCCCTGGATCCTGGGATCATGACCCAAGCTGAAGGCAGACGCTTAATAAACTGAGCCACCCAGGCGCCCTTTACTAATTATTATTAATTATATATTTATTATTTTGCTTTACCTTTTTTTTTTTCAAGTTCCTCAGTACTGGAATCGGATGTAGGAAATAAGAAGCTCTTTGGTCTCATTTCAATTCAGCAGTGTTATTCGTAGTCATTTTATATCTGGAGGCAGGGTATACGTATACATATATTTTTCAGTGTTTTATCCCACTGTGACTCTAGTAGTGTCTTGTGGGTCATTTTCGAAAGGACCAAAATATACATATATACATATATGCATATGCATATATATGTGTGTGTGTGTACAAAATGTATATTTTGTATATAGAACATATAAAAATGGATAAAAAAAGTCTGAATGTGTATTCGCTCATCATGTTCTAGTAATACATAGTTGCTTCTTCTCCTGATGCTAAGGTTTCTCCAAGTGCTTACAGACTGCAGAGGGGATCAGGAGAGTGACAGAAGTATTTTGTTAAATAAAGGAATTGAAACTGAAAATGATCCTACAAGAAGAAAATATGATGGTTGTAAGGTTGGTGGGGGCGGGGGGAGCTCTACTTATCACAGTGGCGCAGGAAAGAAGCCCTGTGATACATTCAATAATCCCTTGTATCATTTCATTCTCACTGGGCATTTTGCTTATATGCCTTCTAATAGAAATTCAAGAAATGAAATACCCCTTGGGCACTGTTAGCTCTGACCTCCAAAATATTCAATTATTCTTTAATTGAACATTTTTATAGTTAGAAAGTTTACAATATGTTTTTCCAACTTCCGTGTTCTTCTTACTCTTCTGCAACAAAAAGTATATACATTTAAATTTAATTTTTAAAATAATTCTGTTAAAATTATCCTTTATGTTATTTTAAATATTAGTACACAGGTAACCAAAGTTATTCATTAACTTTTGGTAAGTAATTATGAGGCATAAAACTAAACTATACTGGAAATGTGTATCATAAATGTAGGTATGGGTAGTGTTGATATCAATGCTTTCCTGAAAGAAGTTTCTCTAATATCAGTTTTTCAATTTGCCCTTTTATTTGGCACCCTGGGGAGGCAAGACATATGGTGAGATTCTGAATGGGAGAGAGATGTGCCTTCCTTTGGTAAAATGGGTGAAGGGTAATTATGAAAGGGGAAGTGGGAAAGGAGAACTTGCCAGAAAATGCTTGCTGTTGGCACATTTCAGGCATATCACTTATAAAAAAGGGTTCCTATGGAAATAGTGGATCCGGAAATTGGTTCCTTTAGAACTCTCTATATCCATACAGCCCTTGGAAAGCTGTGGGGTTCCCCAGGGGTACCTGTTGTTTACTTTGAAGATCTCTGATCTGGTTCAGCCTATTGCCCGCCCTCCTAAGGTTGATTTGTAGATTGCCAGGGCTCATTTTGCTTAAAACAGAGATTGTGTGTGTGTGTGTGTGTGTGTGTGTGTGTGTGTGTAGGGGAGGGAGGGGTAAAGAACTGGCAGCTGCAGAGGCTTCCCACTGAGACCGGGGTTGGGGGGGGAATAGCTTCCAGCCAGGCTTGGGGGATTGGATAGCCTTCCCAGCCTGGGCTCCTCTTCCATGCTAGTTCCAGTCACACTTCTCTGTGCTCTAGACACACTTGCTATTCCTGCTCACTCCTCGTCATCCTTCCTGCGCCCTGCTGAAAGCATCTGACCTCCATAACTGTTGCTGCCCCTTTATACTGCCCAGGTGGAATTATTTTTTCCCTTGTATGAATTTATTTGTTGCT